CCAGAACCTCTTAGGTGGGCACCATTGCCATTATGAGAGAACGAGGAAGGTGTCCATGGTGAGTTCCAGCACCTCTTTTTCTAGAAAAATAGCACTGACTATATCTATTTTTGTATGCACTACTTGGCTGGAGAACTGACTGCAAAATTCTGCGAAGTGCAAATTATGAAAGATGGCTGCATGTCTGTTTGCATATTTTTTCAGAAAGTGAAAATTATGGACGTTTGCCAATCAGTGCAAACTGAATCAAATTTCTCCCCGCAGCCCTACTCCCAGCTTCCTGAGGGTTTATGCCTCTTTACAGTGCACTAAAAGCCAACCATTGTTCTATAGAAATTCCATTCAGTTCAGGTGTTCTTGTGTAGAAGAGGAGCTCCATTTTTTGCACCTTCTGATATTTATGGCCAAAGCACCAACCGAATGAGGAAGTCTTTGGACTGAAGCCCACTGCAGGATATTCTGTATTGAATTTATGTATAAGCCGGGGCACATCCATGCTTCACTCCAATCAGTGGTAGGGGTGCTGAACTAGGAAGCGTCACATAAGCTTCTCCAAAACAATATCCTTCTTTCTGCAGGAGTGTAGGTTATTTTGTAATTATTGTGCTTCTGCTCTCTACTCATGTGGGCTAGCATTAATCAGCACAAAGATCAAAACTGCCAACATGCAGCTCCAGTCTTGAGTACTCTCCCTTACAATTAAAAGAAACAATTTTATTTGGTGTATATGCATTTTCCTGGGAGCTGATAGTTTGAATTGCTTTTGTGAAAAACTCAGTTATGTCCTTCCTTTTTAAAAAGGCAATGTTAAAGAATGTGAAATGGTACTTCTAGAATGTTATCGCTGCATAATGACCTTAGAAATTATTTTAAAAACACCCTTAGGTTATTTTCAGTTCCTAAACTTTCCTGTATATATATTCTTTCTACTGAAGATTTTATCTTTGGCTGTGGTCAGGTTCTTACAGAACAAATACCTTGGATGTTTGTTCAACTATTTTGTTAGTATGCTTATCTACATACTATCCACATATGTGGTTCTACCAGCACCTATCTACCTGGATTAGCAGCACTCACCTGAGAATCAGCATCCTGAAAATGTAGACTATGGATTAACTGATCCTCTGATTCACAGTGCTGGTCATGTAAAAAAAATGCTGTGACAGAAAGCACCCAGAGACAAAGGTTCTCCAAGTCATTCCCAAAAGGCATTCCTCAAATTGAAATGTGCATCCTTGTAAAATGTGAGCTTTTCTGGACATTCTGTTTCAGAATAATCTAAAATCATTATCCCAGTCTAGAGACCCCATGTATGCTCCACTTCTCCAGTCCTTAGGCCATCAAACATTCTTGTTGATTTCAACAAAAGGGATGGCTTCTTGGAGAATTCTTTTGTGTGTGCACATCAGAGATTTCATATTGACAGCCGATCACTAGATCAGAGCATCAGGTACTAATTTCGCTTAAACACAAATATATCATTTCATGTGGTTTGAGTAATTTCGTTTGAAGTCAATGGACACCTTCATCCCAAATATTCACAACAGTATATCAGCCTGTAATTCAGTGTGATATCCATCCCAGGCACTTATCTAGAAGCCAGAATCAGACTTAGAAATGGATAACTAAATGGCTTCATGAGAATCTCAGACATAATTGGCTTATGGATGGCATCATTAGCGTGCCGACTCCTTCTAAAACGATTATGTTTTAAGATGCAGCACACTGTGTTTTATCAATTGGGGGTAATGAATTAGAATTCGTAAGCAATGTAGCTAATATGAGTGCTCTGCAAAAAGCCATCTATCTTTAAAAGAAAAGTTCTCTGCAATTGATACAGGGTTGCTATGCTTTTATCTATACTACCACAGCTGGAAATCTCTCTGTGTGTGATCTGAATATTTAGAGCTCGGTGGAAAATTCCCTAAATGTTGAATATCTTGAATATATTCAATAGCTACCATGAGGATCAGACCAAAACAAGTGTCTGTCAAGTAATTACCATCAAACCACTGCTTCACCTTTAATGTGTTCTGTCCCCTTTTCATTTTGATGTTTTGTAAAATGACAGGTGCACCTGTAAGTTCTATAAGCTCTCAATCTTGATATGTTCCTACAATGGCTGTGTACGCTGTTTTAGGTTCTTCCCCCTACCCAATGCATGATGAACTGTAAAGTATACTGATTAAAGAAGAGAAGCATGGAAGATTGGCTCAGTGTCTTCATGTGTTATTTTAACTTCTGAGCCGGTATACCAGTACAATATAGGAAGACACATTGTGGAAGGACACTTCCATTGGCTTAATCCCCAAAAACGCACTTCTCCCCTTTCCCAGGACAAACGGATACCAACCAACAACCAGGGCTTGCTGGCATCTTCCTGTTCTGTGCATGCTCAGGAGTGTCTTTTGCATCCAGGATGTGTGGAAATTTTAACACCCCATGCTTCCCGACCCAAGTCATTGCATCAGAAGGCATTGGACAGAATGATTTGCATGCCTCCAGTAGCAAAGAAGATTACTGACCATCCTTAGTAGCATGTAAGCCTTTAGGATGAAACCTACAATGTCTTTCTTGTCTCCATCAAGCCTTCCTACAGAAGTCCCCTTTTCTTTAATTTCCTTCCCCTGTTTTTGGAATAGATTTTCTTAAAGTTTGAAAAAGTATGCAAAGATTAATATAGAAGCCCCCTTTTCCATGGATTCATTTGGAGGGGAAAGGCAGGGACTGTCAAGGGAGAGCTGGGACAAGTCTTGATCTTAAGCTATTGCAAATAATAATAATAATAATCTTAGAAAGTCTTGGGGTTTTTCAAAGAGTTCTTTGAGAAAACTGGCAAATACCAAGTTTATTATGTTGGGGTGGGCAGAGACCACCCATTACTGCTTTTAAGGCACATTCAAACTCATCAGCAATTACAATACTTACTTTACTGACCCCTATCTTCTGCATATTTTTGTAATTCTGCAAACTGCATCATCTCTGATTTCCTGAGACTGGGGGTTCAGCCAACTTTCTCAGTCAGACACTGAGAAAGCAAATACACTCTTTCATCGGCCATCTGCGATTTTTATGAAAATGAAACAGAATCAAGTGTCATCTGTGCACTGTATAGCATTGTAAGGCAAATCATCCCATCTCCCCTAGTGACCTTAGAACCGTGCTGTGCAGGAATGGTGACAGGCTAGAACCCTGCTGAATTGCAGATAAAGAATGTGTTTGCTTGAACTGAGTCTTGCCCCTGGGATCTTTTCCTATGAAGAAGGCACAGAACCTCATGAAAGCAACCCTGCTTCCCCGAGAAAGTGTCCACTGGTGTGTTAACAAACAACTGATGATCAAAGGCTATCTTGATGTTGCTGATGGAACTAACAGAATCAGTTTGAATACTTAACCTCTGCCTGCCTAGGAAACAAGATCATCCAACAAGAATTAGTTTCAGCTCTGTGTTATCCCTAAGATCAAAGTCAGGGTGATAAAAGAAGAAAGAAATGTGAAAATTGCAAGTTATGTCCAAACTAGTTTTTTGGTGTTTTTTTCAGCAATGCAATTTAGCGAGTAAATGTTTGAGATGGTGGTGTACAGTAACAAGATGATCTGGAATTCGAGCAAGACATTGAAACTTTCTGCAGGACTTGGGCAAAATGTGTTACTTCCTGCTACATTATGTACATATGCATATACTGGAGCCCTGATGCCTGTTTGTTGTTATTATTTTATTTGGAAGTGGATAACTGAGAGCAGGGGACACGGGTGGCACTGTGGTCTAAACCACAGAGCCTGGGGCTTGCTGATCAGAAGGTCGGCGGTTCAAATCCCCGTGAAGGGGTGAGCTCCTGTCGTTTGGTCCCAGCTCCTGCCCACCTAACAGTTCGAAAGCACGTCAAGTGCAAATAGATAAATAGGTCCCACTCTGACAGGAAGGTAAACAGTGTTTTCATGTGCTGCTCTGGTTCGCCAGAAGTGGCTTAGTCATGCTGGCCAGATAACCTGGAAGCTGTCTGTGGACAAACGCTGGCTCCCTCGGCCTATAGAGCGAGATGAGCACAGCAACCCCAGAGTTGTCCACAACTGGCCAGCATGACTAAACCGCTTCTGGTGCAACAGAACACCATGATGGAAACCAGAGCGCATGGAAACACCGTTTACCTTCCCACTGTAAAAAGTAAAGGTAAAGGTACCCCTGCCCGTACGGGCCAGTCTTGACAGACTCTAGGGTTGTGCACTCATCTCATTCTAGAGGCCGGGAGCCAGCGCTGTCCGCAGACACTTCCGGGTCACGTGGCCAGCGTGATGAAGCTGCTCTGGCAAACCGACACCAGAGCAGCACACGGAAACACCGTTTACCTTCCCACCTATTTATCTACTTGCACTTAAGGGTGCTTTCGAACTGCTAGGTGGGCAGGAGCTGGGACCGAACGACGGGAGCTCACCCCGCCGTGGGGATTCGAACTGCCGACCATGCGATCAGCAAGTCCTAGGCGCTGAGGTTTTACCCACAGCGCCACCCGCGTCCCCCTTCCCACTGTAGCAGTGCCTATTTATCTACTTGCACTGGCGTGCTTTCAAACTGCTAGGTGGGCAGGAGCTGGGACACAGCAATGGGAGCTCACCCCGTCACGGGGATTCGAACCACCAACCTTCCAATGAGCAAGCCCAAGAGGCTCAGTGGTTTAGACCACAGTGCCACATCTACTTAACACCCCAAGGATGGAAAGCTGCTGAATAGGACAGCAGTTCTGAGTGAGGAAAGTATCTCCTCTAGGTTCTCTGCCTTCAGCTACTCCCAAAGTTGGTTTCCTTTTGTTTGTTTGTTTGTTTGTTTGTTTGTTTGTTTTAAAAAATAAAGTTAGCGTGCTAATATGTGCATTTGCACAAAACAAGTTGCTAGCACCTCAAAGGCTGCTTGGAATTCCTTGGGGCCAGAGGAACAGTAGGATGCAATAACTTTAAACAGTTAGCACTACCTATTTGGACCCCGCAATATAGGAATATGCAGCTGCCCCATACAGGGATTGAACCTGCAACCTTGGTGTCACCAGCACCATGTTCTAACCAACTGAGCTATCCTGGCTGCACTATATATATTTCCATTCAGCTTGTTCAATTGACACAGTCATATCTTACAGTCAACACTTTCACACATATATATATTCACTGCCAGTCCTCTTGTGTAAGTGATAGCCTCTATTTTGAATATCGTTCATTAATACTCATATCCAGATCTTTCATTTATTGTTTGGATGTAGCAGCGAGATCATACGGATGCATAAGAAATTTACAGCCCGCAACGAAACTGCAAAGTTGTTGACATGTCACATACTGGGGCTTAGACATCCTCACACTTGTCCATTGAAACTGAGCAATTCCTGACTTGCACTGGGCAGGGCCTGTAAGATCAGTTTCAGAGCCACCCATCTATAAATAAATGGCCTTGCTGGTTTACTTTCAGAGCCAGTCATCCCAGAGACAACACAGAACAGATGTGAATGCAAAACTCAGATGGGTGTGTGTGTGTGTGTGTGTGAGAGAGAGAGAGAGAGAGAGAGAGAGAGAGAGAGAGAGAGAGAGAACCAATGATACAAAATGTATTGGCCATTCAGGATGTGGTGGCATTGCTGTTTTTTTAAATGTGACCCCAAATTCCCCAAAATTCATTGGATCCTGATCAGCTGCTACTTCACATGTCTGATAACTTTCACACCCAGCAATGCATCTGGTTTGACATGGCATAGGTGGTATTGCTTAGAAACTTGATGGCTCTTAGATGTTAGTCATGCCTTGTAGAAAGGACCAGATTTGATGACCCTTATTCACTAACCACTTTGCATCGATTTAAAGGATCCCCCCCCTCCACTGTTTAAAGCAATTTCAACCTAGTTTTCCATATCTCTCCTTCAGAACAAGCAAAACTGGTGGTACAAGGTGGCCCTCTTTACAGCATTTCTGGAATGGGGAAGAGGGGGTGACTACTCTGTATTTCATTACCAGCACATCCTCAAGTATTCATAATGGAGTTTCATATCAGCTTTTGAAATAAAGCTGAAATAAAGCTTTTGAAATAAAGAAATAAAGATTATCAGCCTAAATATCAGAAACCATCTTTTGAGAAACTGACCAAACAATGTATGCAGGATAGGTACAAGATTGGCAGTTCTAGTTTATCCAGATTTCTTGATGAAGTGCATGGCCCATGATCAGACTAACCCTTTGGCTGTAGCCTTGTGTGTTATATCACCTGTGAGAAAGTACTGAGCAGCATTTATTTCCAAGTAAGCATACATTAAAGTAAATCAGCTGGAAAACAACAAGTCCAACCCCAGAGCACTATCCATCCCACTGCCCTTGGTATAAATGGTTGCTTCAGGTTTGGGGAGTCAATTGAGGATGCCAGATGTCAGACTGTAGTTTTAATGGCACTATTTCACCTAAAGCTGACTTTGTATTTGGATATTTTAAGTGTTTCAAGTGTTTTCTTGTTCTGTGTTTATTCGATTGTAAACCCACTTTGAAAGGCAATCTTGCTTGAAGGAGTTGTGTATAAGCCCTTTAAATAAGCCAATCAATGAAGTATGCCCCAAATTAAGAATATTTCCTTCTGCTCTTCCATTTCAACATTGGAAGCAGTTATCCAGCGAGCCGCAACCTTTCAAATCGTCACCCATCACATTAATGCTTCAACACTGAGAAGTGACAGCTTGCAGGTCATCGCCTCCTGATTGTCCAAACACAAGGTCAGTATTTCAGATTATATAAACAGGCATGTCTGTTGTTTTCAAGAAGTCCCTCATTAAAAATAAATACTTCGCAACCCTGCTGGCCGTGCGCTGTGCATTAAATACAAGTTGAAGTTATGACAGCTGTTCCTCTCAACGAGTGCACGTTCCTTCCTTGTGAAAGCTGGGTTACATTCTGTTCTTTAAAAGCTGGAACCAACTAGCTAGGAGAATGGCTGGTAGGGTTTCATCAAATCTACCTGTTTAGAGGTCATGATTTTCACTGACCAAATTCCTGCTGGGTATGGTCCATTTTTCAGAATAACTATCCAATCCCCACCAAAACCTCTCTCAGAAATCCCAGTACCTTTGACTACTCACAGATCAATAGTTTCACACATCATAAGCTGCAATGATCCAAGGAATAAGGTGAAATTTGGAGGTGGGCTACCTAGGCTCAGATTTTTACTTAGCGATGAGCTCAATGGAGCCCAATAAAATTAGAAGCAGCCTTAAACCCCATCAGATCATTGGTCTGTTTAGCTTAGCAATGTCTAAACTAGGGGCAGCCAACATGGTGCCCTACAGATGCTGTTGAAATACACCTGCCATCTAACCTGACCATTGGCCATGCCAGCTGGGGCTGATCAGAGTTGTAGCCCAACACCACCACATTGGTTACCTCTGGTCTACAATGACTATCCATGGCTCTCCAGGGTTCCATGTTAGGCTGCTCCTTTGCAGAATATGGGGAAGTGGAGACAATGGAAGAGGATTTGACTTTCCTTCTGCTTTCAGAGACTCTTCGTGCATATGATATGTGAAGGCATTGGCAGACTGCCTGGTGGTGGTGCTCCCCTGACCTCCCACAGCTGAGTCACTACGGCTTATTGGGAAGGAGAGAAGAGAGGCAGCAGAGGCATCAGAGAGGTGGGCATGGAACAAACACACAAGCAGAGCCAATCTGGCACCCCTGTCAGTGCATTTGCTGACCTCCTCATCTCTCCTTCCAAGGAAGCACTCAGGAGGTCAGGTGGGCACTGCCACCCCACTCCACCATCTGCTGCTGTGTAAAGGAGAGTAACCCGATGTGTAATTGAAGATTTTTTTACAAAATGAATGTCAACTAAAAACTGTTTTGTTCTCCCAGGCTTTTAGATGAGATATTATTTTGTCAGTGATACCTGCTGTTGTAATGTTGTTGGTTTGGGTATTTTGATGGCATAAGCTTTGATTGTTCCCTATTGGCTGCTGATTTATATTGTGCTTATTGTTACCTTCAGCTTCAAAATATATTTATTCCGCAATGACTTCCTGCTGATTCCAGTTTAATTCCCAGTACTGTTACAATCCAATATTCACTTACATGGGAGTGAGCCCCACTGGGATATACTTCCAACTTTAAGTAGACGTGAATAGGATTGCACAGTTATCAAAAGGGGAGGAACAGGAACCCATTGTCCTCTAGAAGTTTTGGGACTACAACTCCCATCATCCCTGATCATTGGCCTTGCTGACTGGGGCTGTTGGGTTTTGTAATCCAACAACATCATGAAATCATCTATGGACTGAAGCACAGCAATCATGTAACTACTTCACAACTCTCACCATTGTGTTAGTTGACCTGTATCATATACATGGAAATAATATACCCAAGATGTCTTTTTTTAAGATTTTGTTGATGTTTCAGATCAAGAAGAGGAAAAGACAGGAAACAAAAATGTCCCTTCTCACTCGCATACTCTAGTGACCTTTGCGAATGTTGTGAAACTTTTCCAGCAGCCCTGAAAAGGCTTCCTAGTAAATATCACGCCAGCCATCAACCATGTAGCTGATGGACTACAATTTCCATCAGCCCCAGGCAGCATGGCCAATGGTCAAGAATGAAGGGAGTTGTAGTCCAACAACATCTGGATGGCCCCCAGGTTCTCCACCCCTACTAGACAACACCTGTAAATGTGTCCCTGCGGTTCTTTTCAGGAGACATTCTTACAAAGTATTAGTAAACAAACACCTCTGTGCTCAGCTTGAAGTTGTGTTTCTTTTTTGTTTATTTTCAGTGCACGTCATGCCTCCATTCTTCAGTCTATGGACCTGTAAGAATCAAACGTAGAGGTCAGATGAATAGGGAAGACCAAACTCCCTGGCACAATGGAGGAACAGAGGATCAAAAGGTCCACTGTGCACAGTATTAGACCATTTCCTGATGTTAAGCTTCCTTGATGGGATGTTCTCCACAGAAACACAGGACACTGTTATTTTGCTGCTTTGTTCCACAGAGCCATGTGGGAACAGAAAATTATTTTTAAAGCTGAAGCATAGATGCAAATTCTACAACATTCCCTCGGTTGTTGTTCTTCTCTGATTGCACAAGACAAGAGCTTCTTTTTCCTTCCAAATATGAAAGCTGGTTTTTTTCTGCTTATTTCCTATTTCAGTGGAAACATTATTTCCCATTATTTCTACCAACTGTCAACTGCTGGCTTCAAGCACCTCACATTACAGATGACATCACAATTTGTAAAGTAGGCGTAATTCCAGCTGACATGGCCACTGGCTCTTGGGATGCACATAATGTAATTTTTGTAATGATACCAGGATGGAGGGTGCGGGGGGAGAGACTGCAAAAAGGCCATATGTTGCTCAGTCCTATGGAAGTACTCCAGTACACTGTGGCGAACTAGTCTGGATCCTGGATAGTATGGTGTTCCCTATATATGCAGCAAGCCTCCAAGCACCTGCCTCAGAAGGAATGCTTCATGTGAAATGTGAGAAACATTGCTGTCTATAGCGCTGATCCTAATAGCTTCTGTTCTCAGTTTCCAGTAAGTCTAGCCCTGTGGTATGCTCAAGCAACCATTATTCTTAATTGGCAGTTAAGGATGTGAGACAACTAGAAATGGTAACTACACATATTCTTTGCTCTGGTAGATTGCAAAGCTTTCGAATTTCTATACTGCAGTGCAATCGTATTCGTGTTTGCTCAGAAGTAGGTCCCACTGAGTTCAAAATACAGTGGTAATTCAGAAGTTAAACGGAATCCATTCCAGAAGTCTGTTTGACTTCCAAAACATTCAGAAACCAAGACACGGCTTCTGATTGGCTGCAGGAAGCTTCTGCAGCCAATCAGAAGTTGAGGAAGTCGCACTGGACGATCAGGTTCCAAAGAATGTTCACAAACCAGAACACTCACTTTCAGGTTTGCAGCATTCAGGAGCCAAAACATTCAATTCTCAAGGCATTCGGGATCCAAGGTACGACTGTACAGTATAAGATTCCAGGCTGGGGGAGAAAGTCATTTATTTCATTTTTTCATGCAGATTGACTTAATTCCTACTTAACGGCACACAAACCCAAA